GGTAGCAACAAAAACTGCGGGGAACCATACAAAAAACGCATCTTCGCACGGGCAGCCCGTGCGTTGATCAATTATTCTCTTTTGTGGCGGTGCTATTTTCAGTTAATGGTATAAAGCTGAATTTGCTGCAGGTTCATATACCCTTTCCAGTAATGACAATATTGCAATACATGTGCTATCTGGGTTGGATGAAAGTTGCTGCTTCATTGATGAATCCATATGGAGATGATGAGGACGATTTTGAATGCAACTACCTCATTGATAAGAACACTGCAGTGCGTTAAAATCAAGTTTTGTTATGCCTTGAATTGCAGATATCGCTGAGAAACTTGTAGCTTGCAAAAGAGGGAAGAGAGGGAGAAGCACACTGTTCACTTTAGAAGTCCTTTCACTGTACCTTTACTCAAAGCGATGCGTAGCAATTGGCATTACTCAGTGTGTAACTCTCCTAACTCGTCGACACAAATATGCTGTAGATTTAGAATCAAGGTACCACAAAACGCCCATAAATGTTTTTCACTTTTCTTCAATATTATCAGCAATCACAAAACCACATATCTGCATAACTTTACTTATATTCCTTGCAGACAGCCATGTTCATCGTTGACTCGGCGCACAATGATATTCCGGATCTAGAAAAAGATATGTTCTGGTCGAAAAGTGAAGTGGAATTGTTCTATCCGATAGGTTCGAAAGATAGCGTACGTAATCCACACATCGGAACAGCTGTACAGGCAAGGTGAATTAACAGCAGTGTTTCGTACAATCTTTGCAACTTTCAGTAATTTTCCCTCATTCTAACTCTGGACTAAACTCAGACAAGGTCCTCGCATTTATTACCTATACTTTAACAGTCGTTGGGAAACAATAACTTAAGCTGGCAAGCAAGAAGTTTATGTCTTTTTGGGCAATAAACGAAGAATCTTGTGCTACGTATGTGTGTATTAGGTGGGCGTGCACTGGACTTTTGTACACTGAGTGTACGTGCGCTGGGTGTACATGTACGTGGTGTATTTCAGAATTCTTATCTATCATGTTTTTATAATAAATTATAATCAAACTGTTCGACAGGAAGTTGTGAGCCTGCAACTTATGAAAATGACAGTAAACGTAAGGAAATGCGGTACTTTTGCAAGATGCTTTACTTCCAGTGCGCATGTACAATCCTGAATTGCCTAAACTTCATTTCGTCACGAGTTGTGCCTTTTCGTGCTTATAACTCTGTGTGTATATGTCTTTTTCTGAAAATTTAGGTGGGGTAAGAGAGGTGATTTCAGATCATTTACGAATAATTTGGTAAGCACTGTTTTGAGATTGCAGAACAGCACCAGTTAGTATCTGATGTCACCTGCATTAGACAGAAAATTATAAAAATCCCTCTTGTGATATTTAATCCGTATGTGCAGTAAGAAAAGCGATTTGAGCCTTAGAGATGTCCTGTGTCGTTTCACCTCTGAAAAGTTTTCTTGTAACGCTTCAAGTCAAGTATTAAAGCGTGAAAATGGCGCGACAGAACCCTGTACCAATCCACTACTTGCAGTGTTTGTCATATTGCATTTTAGAGTAGCAAAACCCGATCATGAGCCCGAAATGATTGTTGTGCATCGGCCAGTGCTATCCCATCAAAGTACTACAAATTCAAGTTTCGAAGCGCGTTTATGAATCCATTTTCGTTATTTGTGCATTTCGTTTTGTGAGCGCCTTTGCAACATCCACAAAACCAGGATTAAAAAACGGATTACTTTTCGTTTTCCAAAGACAGCGAAGTTCGTTCTTTTTTTGGAAACGAATGGCATTGCAGCATTTTTTCAGTTATATTTTACAACTATTATGCCGTTAGTGATAGTTTTGACGACTTTGTTATTAACGTAAAAAAACCCTTGCCAAAGTAATTTGCTCAAAAATTGCTAAACTCTCTTTTTCTACTGAAAATTACCAAAAACGACTTTTGGGAAAAATCTTGGCCTTGGTCAAAAAATCATGCACTGTTGTTTTATAAGAAAAACTGGCTGTAGCAACTGAGAGTTAACAATAAGCAATGTATTGCATTTAGCCGTTTTTAGTATTAATATTTTAAATAAAATATGACTTATTTTCTTAGTTTTATTCATATTGTCATGTACAATATCAATAAATGTTTAGCTACGCCTCTGACAATAATTGTGCACGTATTCATATACATGCACAGTTATTGTCAGAGGCGTAGCTAAACATTTTGTGAACTAGCTCCTTTCTTTTTGTGCGTTTTTACATGCAACCTTTGTAATAACGTACCAGACTTGCCGGTGCAATCATACGTTTTTGCGCTAAATTTGAAGCAGTCAGATAATTGAAAGTATGAACGGCTGTTTTGTACTTTAACATCTGCACTCATATTAGCTACGTTTTAGTCTTTTTGCAGGCGCGGCTTGGACAGTGGTGTTGCATCATGAAATCGCATGAAATCTTAACCTCTAGCATGCACCGCTGTAGACCGCTGTAAATCTTGCACGAAGCCGAATGAATAATTTCCGGTGACTGATCCTTTACTGAAAATGCAAATTGGACAGTAAATAGGATGTCGAGAAAGAAGGATGACGAAATCTGCAAAATGCACTCGTTTTTGAGGTTGTGATAAAACTGAGTATTTGTTGTGTGCGTGTGCAGGGAATCTGACTCCAAGCTGAGTTTAGATCACGCATGGATGTAAAGTATCCTTGTAAAATTTCAGCTTCGCAGCTTGTACGGTACCCAAAATTGCTATTTCACCGCAAGTATCTTTGGCGCAAGTATCTATACTTGCAAGTATCTATAAAATATTGCAAAAATGCAGCTTGAAACTTTTTTTAGGGGAATAAATATTCTGGTAAAGTTACAGCTGCTGCTTTCCAGCTAGTTTTAGTGTTGGCCCGGTGTCAACTGAGAACTTTGACGGGACACGCATAACGCAAGTGTGTGCGATGGATGAATTCGAAATCTTTAGCTCACACATAGACAGAGAATAATTCCGTCTTTCAACGTTTTCTGCTTCCCAAAATCGTTTCCCACCAAAAACTTTACATATTTTTTCAGGCGCCCGTACATGATATCTAGGCGTTTAGGAGCGTTGGTTTTGAAAGAAAACGTTGGCACATGTAATGGGATTATGCTGCCACAATTCCAGCCTCCTCTCTTTCTCTAGTTGATGTCTTGAGTGTAAAGCAACGACCATTCATAAAGTTTTCAACCTGCTTGCTTCA